AGTGATGTGGGAGTGTCATATCAATCTGTTGATTTCATTGGCTGAGCAATAAAGAAACTGCTGGCCCTGATAGGTTAAAAGATAGGTGGGTGAAATAAACAGAATAGGATGCTGGGCGGAAGAGGAAATGAGGTCAGACTCTGCTCTGCTTCCAGAGGGACCGGAGACGCCATGCTCTGCTCTCCCAGGCAGCTCCAATCCACGATGGACTTAGGCTAGAATCTTCCAGGTAAGCGCACCTTGGGGTGCTTACACACATTACTAGAAATGGGCTAGTCCAGGTGCTAGAATTAGCCTGTAAGGGCTAGAGTTCATGGGCCAAGCAGTTCTTAAATGAATATAGTTTGTGTGTTGTTATTTCGGGCATGAGCTAGCCAAGCAGCTGGGGTGTTGGGGACACAGCCCCGCCGCTCCTATTTCAACACGTAGGAAAGGATCCGAACTGGAAAACTGAGGACACCGAGGACAAAAGGGAGGAATGTACTATTTTAAAACCCTGCACACTGAAGATGATGCTCCCATTGCTTTCTGACTGGTAACCAACTTTCTACCTCTTTAGTAAGTGCAGAGAATGCCTGCCTGGGATTACAAATTACATACATTTCTGAGACAGCTCAACTTCAGTGAGTTCAGCTCAAATACCACCTAGTTCTACTCATCACCACCCAGTCCAGATCAGTAACCTGTGGATTCATCCTACTGAAAACCACAAAAGTCTCCCATTAACCAAGTGATACTTGAATACAGAATTTCTAGTTAGCTTTCTGTTGTTATCCTTTCTTAAATATGAAAAAATAACCAAGAACCATCTGTGGGGGGCACTCTATTACAGAACTATTACAGTAAGTAAAAGACAAACAAAAGCTACATGTAAAGAGTCAGAGACATAGGAGAAATATAAAGAAAGACACAAGGGAAAAGACACTGAATTCCTGAGAAAATAACAAGATGTTCCCTCAAAGGAGATATTCAAGGTAAAGAAGTGGCCTTGATAATAAAAATTTAGAGATATGATAAGACAAGTGACAAGCCCATTCAAGAGATTGGATGACAAAACTAAATCTCTTGGGAAGTTCCCAAGAGATTCAAAGACGTGAAATTAGAAAGATAGCAAGATATGAATGAAATCTAAGATGTTAGTGCTCAAATAGCAGCTGCAGAAGAGAAGAAGGAGGAGGATATCATCAAGAAGGAAAGAGTACAAAAACTTTACAAAATTCACTGACTGAAGGCGCCTGATGAGGCAAAGGGCTTAAACCAATCATCATTAGTGTCAGACTGTGGAGATAAAAGAGAAACCAGTCAGAGTAGTTAGAATACCAATTCTAACTCCAAAACACACAAACTTTGAGGCAATGTCTCCAAAGGCTGTAGGGAATTTTTTGTTTACAGAAAGAAATGAGGGAGAGTAAAGAGGAAAGCAGAGGGCAGGATGTTCCTCCTGTGAGTAATTAAGAGTGAAATAGCAACACCTGAAAGGCTGAAGCAGAAGGCTCACCAAGAGGTTGAGACCAGCCTGAGCTACACAATAATACTGTACAAGCCCGGGCTTCATAGCAAGACCCTATCTCAAAAAAAAAAAAAAAAAAAAAAAAAGAAGAAGAAAAGGGGTGGTCTAGAAAGATGGCTCAGTGGTTAAGAGAACTTGTTACTCCTGAGGAGGACCTGGGTTCATATTTCCAGCCCTGCATGGTAGGTGACAACCATCTATAACTCCAGTTCCAGGGAATTCAATACATTCCTGTTATCTGTGTGCACCAGAAATACACACAGTGCATCTATACACATGTGGGTAAAATACTGACACACATAAAATTGATAAAAAGATCTTTAAAAACCAAAGGAAAGATAGAAGAAAGATATAATTAAGAAGAGTAGAAAGAGAAGCAGGAGAAAGAGCAAGATGAAAGAAGAAAGTCAAACAAATTCCTAAGGAAAAGAGAGATGGAGAATTACAAGGAAATGGCCTTGAGTTGGGTTCGAGGTTTGTAGTTCAGAGGCAGGTGGAATGAAACAGACAATAGCAAGAGGCATGGTCAGGTCAATACTGAAGCCCCGGACCTGTGTTGAGGGATGGGCACCCTACCAGTCACTGAAAAACCCATGAGATAATGAGATACACAAAGAAAGTCGATCAAATGTAAAAAATCAGTTAAGTATTAAATCTAGATAAAATTGAATTCTATAACAAAGAATAAATAATTCTATGGTAAAAATATTAGTTTTACATCACTTAGTATTAAGGTATTAAAATCTAGTGAGACACACAGGCAAACAGAAGAAAGAACTGAGAACATCCCCCCAGCAAGCAGGAAAGGGCTAAGAGATAACTCAACATAACTTTAATTTTACAATTTTCTGTTTTAAGTGTCATTGGTAAACATGGAAATTAAAACAGCCTTGACACCGATCTATCCCCGAATGACCCATGATTACAGCACACTGTGGTCCCTTTGTAACTGGAGCTTCTAAATAGTACTGATGAAGAACGTAACACAAGCTTTTGCAGGTTCAGAGAATCGATTCATGAGTCTCAATATCAGGAAAGCTGTTTCTCAACTTCACGAAAGAGGTGTCTCAAATTCCCACTTGGCAATGGACAGGATGGGACCTTAAGTGGACCCAAGGTTACAAGATCCACAAATCATACCAGCAAAGTGCAGACCATATTTTTTAATTTCCATATCAGCATTCTGTACTTTGGGGATGCATTGTTCCTCCCAGAGAGAAAATTCTGAGCCTCATTTCCTGTAAGTGAAAGTTGAACCTAAAATAATCATCAGGGACTGGGATACTCACCGGTCCATCAGGAAATGAGGTAGTGATATTAAGAAACACCCTAGGCCCATAACCACACATCCAATACCGATCATGATGGGCCTGTGCAGTTTTGTTCCAAAATAACTCACGAATATAATCAGCAAAAGGTTTCCTAGGAGAGAAGAATGAGAGTGCTTGTTCAGTAATATGTTAGCCTATCTTAGTCAGCATCATCTCCAACATTTGAACTCAGGGTTTAACAACCACCTTAAGAGCACAGGAATGGATCCACCCCTATCCACTGGACCCCACAAGCTACAAGCCTCATCCTGCCCACAAACTCGCCTATCCTCCTGCAACCTTGGTGGAACTGTAAAACACACCTGATTACAGTGCAGAGAGGAACAAGAGGTGAGTGACCCAGCAGAACACCTCACACTCTAGACCTTCTGTAGTGGGGCAACTTCCTTGGCATTTCTGGCCAGCCAGCAGGAGAGTTCCCTGAAGGTAGGCTGCCCCAATTCCCACCCCCATCCACCAGACTCTGCAAACTAAAAGCCCCATGTGCACTCAAATTTGCCTACCCTCAGTGGAACTCTGAAACACAGCTTGCTACAATACAGAGAGGAGCAAAACAAGAGTGACCAGTTACCCAGCAAAACATTCCACTCTCTAGGCCCTCCATAGTGGGGCAGAACCTCAGGCCTCTCCCCCACCTACCTCAGCTTCTCTAGTCAGCCAGCAATAGAGTTTCCAGCAGAGAGGACCAAAAGAGAGGACCAAGAGAGGAACTCTAAAGCACAAGCTGTGACTACACAGAATGGACCAAGAAAGTGAACCAGGAGAGCAGACTAAGAGAGCAGACTAAGAGAGACCTCAGTGGCTCCTTGAGAAATAGATATTAACAGTACAGAGCAGACCAAGAACAATTCCCAATGACTCAGACAGCCACTGCAAGGATTAGACCAAGATGCAAAGACACTGCCAGCATAAATTGAAAGAAGAGATGGGTAGGCACCAATGCAAGAATTAATCCAACAAACTAATAAGCAACATGGTAACACCAGAACCCAGTGGTCAAACAACAGGAGGTCTTGATCATACTAACCCAGAAGAAGCAAAAAAATTATTTTAAGTGAAACTTTATAAAAATGATGGACACCCTTAAAGAGGAAATGAAAAACTCCCCTAAAGAAATGAAGTAAAAGATGAATAAAAAATTAGAAGAAATTAATAAATCCCTCAAATAAACCCAAAAAAAAAACAAGAAAAAAATAATCAAACTGGTGAAGCAAACAATACAAGACATGAAAACTGAAATAGAGGCAATAAAGAAAATGCAAACCAAAGGAATTCTTGATATGGACGATCTGGATAAGTGAACAGAAACTACAGAGGCAAGTATAACCAACAGAATGTGAGAGATGGAAGAGTGAATCTCAGGTGTTGAAGATATTATAGAGAAAATCAATTCATTGGTCAAATAATACATTAAATCAAACAAATGCTTAAATCTGGAAATAAGGACACCATGAAAAGGCCAAACCTAAAAATAATAGGAATAGGAGAAGGACTCCAGCTGAAAGGCACAGAAAATATATTCAACAAAATCATAGAACAAAATTATCCCAAACTAAAGAAGAATATCCCTGTGAAGGTACAAGAAACTTACAGAATACCAAATTGACTGGATCAAAAAAAAAAAAGTCCCTTCACCATATAATAACCAAAACACAAAACATACAGAATAAAGAAAGAATATTAAGGGTTGCAAAGGAAAAGGGTCAAGTAACATATAAAAGTTGACCTATCAGAATTACACCCAACTTCTCAATGGAAACCATGAACCAGGTCTTGGGCAAATGTGCTACAGACACTAAGAGACCACAGATACAAGACCAGACTATTATACCCAGCAAAGCTTTCACTCACCATCGATGGTGCAAACAAGCTATTCCATGACAAAATCAGACTTAAACAATATGTATCAACAGGCCAGACCTACAGAAAGTACCAGAAGGAAAACCCCAACCCAAAGAAACTAACTGAACCCACAAATACATAGACAGGAGATAACTTCCCACCAGCAAAAGCCAAAGAAGGGAAACACACAACCACTACCACTGAAAAATAACAGGAATTAACAACCACTGGTCATTATTATCTCTTAATATCAATGGATTCAATTCACCTATAAAAAGACACAGGCTAAGAGAATAGATATAAAAACATGATCCAGCCTTCTGCTAAGAGAATAGATATAAAAACATGATCCAGCCTTCTGCCGTATACAAGAAACACACTTCAACCTCTAAGACAGACACTACCTCAGAGTAAAGGGTTGGGAAAAGGTTTTACAATCAAATGGACCTAAGAAACAAGCAGGTGTAGCTATCCTAATACCTAACAAAATAGATTTCAAATTAAAATCAATCAGAAAAAAATAGAGAAGAACACTTTATACTCATA